TTTAACGTTAAGACAGAACAAGACCGTCCTTTTCCCCATTTCTCATTTTGGCTTTGTGACACATTTTCTGTATTTGAAGCGGAAATAAATATCGCTCTTCGTTATTTTGGCTTGTATAAAATTTTATTCACATTTGTGAATATTCATTAAGGTTTAGATTTTTTTAATTGTTATTTTATTCCCCTCCCGTCACAGATATTGTACATATAGAGAATAGGTAGGGCTTTCCTAGAGACAATGTGGTATTATGATGGATGAAGTAAATAAATTAAGTAAGAATGTGTTGTTTTGGTGTACGGAATATTGTTGCATGTTTGGGTCAGTGTTTATGCCGAGCTAAGTTTAATGTTAAGACAGAAGAAGACAGTCCTTTTTCCCCATTTCCCATTTTCTTTTTTGTGCCAAAGTTTCTGTATTTGAAGCGGAAATGCGATATATATATATATATATATATATATATATATATATATATATATTCCATGAATACGATATATATATATATATATACATATATATATATATATATATATATATATATATATATATATATATATATTCTTATTATGGAATACGATATATATATATATATATATTTATATATATATATATATATATATATATATACAGATATAGACATTAATTGAATACGACATAACATAACATACATAGAAAGAAGCTGAGGCTTAACAGAAATTACACGCACACACACACAAAATATATATATATATATATATATATATATATATATATATATATATATATATATGAATGAAAAGGAATACAGGAAACATGTATTGTGTGAACGAAAGGCAGTAAGTAAGACGATAAAAGTAGAAAGATGATGGAAGATAAAAGAAAGATAATTACGTACACACACACACACATATATATATATATATATATATATATATACATACATACATATGTGTGGGTGTCGGTGTGTATATTTACCAAATATACAATAGACAAACGAACGCGTAGTTCTATGTAAAATGATACGTAACGTTAGAATTTGTTTTACACTCGCATAAACATAAACACACACACACACACACACACATATATATATATATATATATATATATATATATATATATATATATATAACATTCATTAGGGCATTAGAACATCTTTATTTGACAATCAGGACACACAACTGCGTCCCAAGCAACAAAAGAACCTGTCATGATGGGGCAGAATTGTTAAGAGAGACCCGCTCGTCTCGGCTTCGTTGGCCAGAAACTGATCGAGGAATTGGAGCATATTAATACGATAAATTATTCAAGCCATAAAACACATCAAGCACCCGTAGACATTCGAGGGGTGCCGGAAAAAAAAGCCTGATTAAATGATGATGGTCGACTATCTTACTTAGAATCCTCTCAATTAAAATATTACCGTTCTGGGTAAAATGAAAAACTCATTCCATGTCCTGGGTAAGACGATAAACTACATCCGCGTCCTGGGTATAACGATAAACTACATCCGCGTCCTGGGGAAGACGATAAACTACATCAGCGTCCTGGGTATGACGATAAAGTACATCTGCCTCCTGGGTAAAAGGATAAACTACATCCGCGTTCTGGGTATGACGATAAATTACATCCCTGTCCTGCGTATGACGATAAACTATATCCGCGTCCTGGGTAAGACGATAAACTACATCCGACAGCAAGACATCTGATCAGGAGGTTTCGAGGAGCGTGGGACCACCTCTTAATTGCTTGTGTTCTCATGTTCACTCTGACCCGGAATGGAAGCATCTGTCAGGGTCCCAGCTATAGGCAAAAAGCTGACCCCACCAAAAGGGGTCAAAAAACTATGAAAGGCTTTAATACCAGCAATACTTTTTTGGAAAAAAATTTACCAGCAATACATTGTTGAAAAAAAATATTTCCAAGATACATTTTTGAAAAAAAAATTACCAGCAATAAAAAAACTTGTTGGCATTAAATAACCCACTGAGGTCGATATACCGTAAAACAAAACAAACTAAACCAAACCAAGTAAAATTCTTTAAACGATTTCTTATTTTCTTCTATCTCCAAATGCTTTCCTAGTTCCCTTTACACATTTAAATATAAATTGTCTCATATCTGAATAACTTCGGCTTTCATAACCATTTTTATTTTTATTTTTTTCGCTATGTCGAGTTCTTCATTCCCAAATATCACGTTTACGCGTCTTCACGTGTCACCTCATGTAAATATTTTCATAATAGGTATTTCCTCTGTCCCCCGACTAGGATGAGATGTGACACAAGGTCTATTTTTAGGTGGGGACCCGAGCGCATACACCCGGGACAGGAATAAAAAAAATTCCTCTCAGCCCCCGCAACCGACGGTTGCGTTGGCCTCAGTGCGAGCACCGATTCCTCCCTCTTGTGCAATGGGAGGGTACGGCCTCGGGCAGCTGTTCCCCAGGGCTGGGCACCTCTTCAGTATAATTTTCTCAGTTGCCCCTCTGTCCTTTGATAAAGAAGCCCCTGAGCGCATTCTGTTCAAGGACATAGACGCAACTGCGAGATTATAAGCAGACGTGTAACTACTCAAAAAGAGTAGGGTACACGCTAAAGATTTTCATAGAATGTGTCTTCTTAAATTAGATATAATTTTATTGATGTTGGATTGTTTACTTTTTATGGTTAATGCTTCTAGAATATGTAAATGTTTTCTCCATTTTATGTGATTCATTAATTAATTAACTAATTAATTAGTTTTAGAGAAATTTTGTACCGAAAAAGAAAAAAACAAGAATCCGACATATAGAAAAATCTAGACTTTTCTCATCCCTTCAACTAAACCTGTATAAATGAAAAACTGGCACCCAAATGCATCCAATACATTCTAAAGGTGCCGTACGCTGTGATCGTCCCCGATCCAGTCCGATAACATCAGGAAGCATCCTTCCTGACAAATCGACCATAGTGGGATTCGAACCCGGGTCTCATGGTCAGAAAGCGAACGTTCTAACCACTCAGATATACATACATACATATATACAATGGTGGCATCTTAACTTGTTCGCGGGAACCGATTCTTAAAATTATAAAAGCTTAATGCACACGTTGTTGGATTATCCGAAAATAATCTTATATATTAATAACCGAAATATAATAGCTAAAAATATACTTAAATATAATTAAATAAATAAACCGATGGTCTATTCAAATACGGGTATCCTCCAGTGGTGGTATCCTATCGGTTCGTACGAACTGATTATTAAAATTATAAAAGCTTAGCGAATCGTTTGTTGGATTATCCGAAAATAATCTTATATATTAATAGCCGATATATAATAGCTAAAAATCCAGCGACGGCTGAAAAGAGGGCTTACTGTGATGAACATAATTTATTCTTACGAAAGAAATCGTCTTGAAGTTCAAAATGTAGCAAATCTTCTAGTCATAAATTTGATAGATCTTCCATTGGATGTTTGGGCAGCAGCAATTTAGTTCCAATGTGGCTAAGAAACCATAATACAGCTGATGCCACGAGAGTCAAAGAGCATCAGACTTCTGGATAGAAATATGATGAGAACAGAATTTCAATCTGGAAATATCTTAATAAATAAATGTTTTCTATTAAATGATCAAAATGATTTAATTCTCTTTGATACTGTAAAGTGATTTGTTTCCATTCTCAGATTCAAATGAAAATAAGTAGAATACGTTCCTAAAGATTCCCTGCCTTTATAGAACCGGTTCCTGTAAATTATAAAAGCTTAACGCACACGTTGTTGGATCATCCGAAAATAATCCTATATATTAATAGCCGAAATATAATATCTAAAAATATGATACCATTGCTGTAAGTTCTTTGGAGGCTTAAAGAGAGTGATGAATATAATTTATTCTTGCTGAAGAAATTGTCTTGAAGTTAGTCTAGTCATAAAATTGATGTCTTCTAGTGGATCTTTGGGACAGCAGCGATTAAGTTCGAATTGGGCTAAGAACGTAATAAAATTTGAATAACAATTTTAATCGTAATACCTTGTCAGTCGTCATTAACGAATCATACACACACACACACACATATTGTGTATTTAGGTAGCAATCCTTCATTCATGCATGTTTCATTAAAAGCAACAGACAAGGTATAGCGATGAAGCTTTTTATTGAATTTTTCTTGTGTTCGAACAAGTGTTTTCTTTTCTGTAGAAACCTTCCAAATGTTCTGTAATTCCGAGCGCATTCGGCTATACTTTTAGCCATTATAAAGGATATGTTTATTTTTTTCAGTTTAATCGAGTGTGTGCGTTGAGTATATGCTTTTAGTTTGATAGAAATGTTTTATTTTCCGAACACGGTTAGCACATTGTAGACGTGTTCGTAGTTAATATTATTAAATGTTGGGTTTTTCTTTTAATCGTATACCTTGTCTGTCGTTTTAATGAAAAACACACATATATATATATATATAAGTAGTTATATATATATAAGTAAATAACTTGTAGATCAGACAGATATATATATATATATATATATATATATATATATATATAGCCCTTTAAACGTTATTTTTATTGGATAATGGTAGACGTCTCTTTATTGATTAAACAATATACTTTTCTATTTTCGTCTACCGGCTTGAATATTCGAGAAATCCCATAAAAGAAAAAATTGCACTCTTTGCATATTTTAATTATTAATATTAATAATTAAAAGAAGTTTCTACTCAAATATGATTATCGACCAAAAAGTAATGTTTAAGTGATAAAAATCTGTCGGAGTGATAATAAAATCATATATATATATATATATATATATATATATATATATATATATATATATATATATATATATATACACAGAGAGAGAGAGAGAGATTAGATTCTTTTCTTTTTCAAAGCTTTTGCATCGGTTGGCTAATACCAATTTAGCTGTAAAAACATTGACTTACATAATAACATCTGACATAGCTAGATGGATAGATAGATGCGGACAGGCATGTATATGACGCAATTTATAGATAGATGTGCAGGCTTATATATATATATATTTATTTGATAGATAGATAGATAGATAGATAGATAGATAGATAGACAGACAGACAGAAAATGGGCTGAGATAGATAGATAGATAGATAGATAGATAGATAGATAGATAGATAGATAGATAGATAGATAATGGGCTGACATAGATAGATAGATAGATAGATAGATAGATAGATAGATGATAGATAGATAATATAATGACATAGATAGATAGATAGATAGATAGATAGATAGACAGACAGACAGACAATGGGCTGAGATAGATAGATAGATAGATAGATAGATAGATAGATAATGGGCTGACATAGATAGATAGATAGATAGATAGATAGATAGATAAAGATAATGTGCTGAGATAGATAGATAGATAGATAGATAGATAGATAGATAGATAGATAGATAATGCGCTGACATAGATAGATAGATAGATAGATAGATAGATAGATAGATAGATAGATAGATAGATATGAATATGTCATCAGTAAAATGCCAAAAAGAAGACTACGATATTTGCCAAGGTTTTTCGAGTAAACGAAGAATTTATTGATGCATGTGGCATCTAGAGTTAATAAAAACTATGTTTCTGCTGAATTTATTTATAAATAAACATATTATGCTGCACTTAGCATAATAAAACCTGACACCAACAAAACGTGTTTTTTGTCAGGCGAGATAAACAGGGTTCATATTTTATATATATATATATATATATATATATATATATATATATATATATATATATATATATAAGTAGATTCTGAAAGTTTTTGCATCGGTTGGCTAATACCAATTTATATGACGCAATTTATAGATAGATGGGCAGACTATATATAGATGGATAGATAGATAGACAGATAGACAGACAATGAGTTGAGATAGATAGATAGATAGATTGAGATAGATAGATTGAGATAGATAGATATGAATATACAGCGATAGACTTGTAAAGATTAAGATAGATATGAAAATATGATTATCCACTAAAAATATGTATATGTTTGGAAACTAAAACATTCCTGTAACTCTAGATACATACATAAAAAATTCCATATATTCAGTTTAAATTCAAAATAAAATTTTCCTTGATAATCAGAAAAAAAGAATAGAAAAAAAGCACTCAGATATACAGAACATTTGGACAATTTCTACATAATTTATGACCAGAAAATTGAAAGCAAAAAAATTATAAAACAAGAAACATTAAATAAAAGACTTATATATATATATATATATATATATATATATATATATATATATATATATATATATAGTCTTCTTTTTGGCATTTTCTGATGATATATTCATATCTATCTATCTATCTATCTATCTCAGCCCATTATCTATCTATCTATCAAATAAAATATATATGGAAGCCTGCACATCTATCTAAAATTTACGTCATATACATGCCTGTCCGCATCTATCTATCCATCTTGCTATGTCATATATATATATATATAAAGTGAACATTGAAGTCAACACTTAGAGGCGACAGGCTGTTTCATGCTAGACGCAATCGTCAGGCCTGTCGATTACGTCTAGCATGAAACTTCAATGTTCAGTTTTATATTTACACACGCTTTATCTCTGATATTGAGCACTTTTTCCCATAAATATAGTACACCTTAAGAGTATATTTCTTGACATATATATATATATATATATATATATATATATATATATATATATTAAAATAACCGTTGGTATATAATTCATGTGGATCTTAGTAATATAAAATATAAACCGACCCACAAAAAGAGCTCAATGCATTTATTATTAGAAAACAACTAATTAATAAACAATAAAATCCAAAATTACCTTATATGGGGAATATCCTATTTCGGCAGACTAAGATATAAGTCATCTGTTTTATCAACCCCGGTGTGGACTGACCTCGTGTCAGAAACAGAAATTTATCTGGGATATATATATATATATATATATATATATTGATATGATTTAGCATTTTGTTGGGTAACCTTTTCCTTTAATAACGACCTTAATTTTACATGTGGCATGTTAGAGACTAAATTCTTTAGTAAGCCAACGTCCGTTACCAGATTTTTTTCCAGCATTCTTTTAATACGCGAAACGTTCATGCTCTGTGTTAATTTTCCTATTACGTGCACGCTTGTCAAATATCGCATAAAGGTTTTCAATTTGTTTAATGTCAGGACTCTGACTAGGCCACTGGAAGGGTTTCAATTTACCCTCGTCTCGTGGTTTCTCTCTAGATACCGTTTATTCTTTAAGGCAATACGCTTAGAATCGTTATCGTTATTAAATAATTTTTTGACTTGCATAATGTACATATATACACCTATATTAATACCTTGTATTAATAAACGGATTCTGTTACTCACTTGTCTTGGTAAAAATATAAAAATCGACTCTCTATGGGTGCGTCCATTTTTTGCATCATACTGCAGCTCATCTGACGCTCCCACAGGAAGTTGATTTTTCTGAGTAATAGAATTCGTTTATTAATTCAGGTGTACATATGTACATTATACAAATAAAAAAAAAATGATTAAGTATTTTGTTGAGTAAACTTTGGCTTTACTAAATTCGTTAGTAAGTCAACATACTTCGCCAGATTATTCAAGCATTCTTTTAATTCGCAAAAACTTCATCTTCTGTGTTAATTTCCCTCTTACGGGCACGCTTGTCAATTATTGCATAAAGGTTTTCAATTTGGTTAATTTCAGGGCTCTGACTAGGCCACAGGAAGAGTTGCAAATTTACCCTCGCCTCGCTTCCTCTCTAGATAATGCTTATTCTTTAAGGCAATATGCTTAGGATCATAGTCGTAACTAAATCATTTTTTGACTTGTATAATGTACATATATACACCTGTATTAATACCTTGTATTAATCAACGGATTCTCAAAGGTTTGGTAAAAATAAAAAATTAATTTTCCACAAAACAATTATTTTTTTTTTTTTCCTCATACTATATATATATATATATATATATATATATATATATATGACAAAGTAGACAAAATTTTTTTAGACGCATCTCATCCATTTGTATCAGACTTAAAGGAAGAATGATGCCACAGTAGTAAACTTATTACAATTTTCATACATTTTTCGTTCATATAGATATATATATATATATATATATATATATATATATATATATATATATATATATATATATATGGGGGGTATATTGTATTAAACATGGTAAATTTCGTCTGTGTTTTGATGTGATGTTGTAATCTGGTATTTCGCTTAAACATGTTTTTTTGAAAGGACGCACTCTGAATGTCTGTTAAACATATTTCGTTGGGACCAAAAAGTCCTTTGATCTCAAATAGAAATTTGTAAAAGAGCTTGTAGAAATTATATGTTATCTTCTGCGTATATTCAACCATCATTGGCCATTTTGCATGTGGCAAACTGTTTCACAGAGGTCTACTGCACCGGAAAAGGATCTTTTAATTATTAATAATAATATTATTCTTACTATGTCTTTGATGTTCTTTCGGGGGCCAACCAGAGACCTAAAGTCAGAAATAGCTTCATGATATCTTCCACTGAGCATTTTTGTTAAAAAAAAGAATGAAAAATTCAAGATCTCCCACATTTTACATAGATAAAGAACGTCGTAATATGTGAGCTATACTTGGGAGTACAATTTTTTTGCATTTTTTAAGACATGTGCTTCTTGTGGTCCCTTTAATGAATCTATGGTAAACTTTTCCGATCAAACCGAGGCCCAAACTACAATTGGAATTATTGATGTCATTATGTGCCACATTTTTTTAGATTTCCACATCAAGATCCGTGTATTTAGATAGTTTGTTTAAGATCCTAAAAGATACATTACAGTCTGCTAGGACTGCCATTTTATTAAGAAAGCACTTTCGGTTTTTGTGGGTTTTGTGGGCGATTAACTGTGATTGTTCTGTCTGTGTGTATTGTAAAGTTCCATAAAATTGTTACATGTCCTGAAGGGTATTAACAAGAGAACCATACCTAAAAGCAAATTTGGGATATGCAGAAATATTGCAATATGAGCTCTGGTAAAAAAAAAGAAATGATAACAGCAAAAATTGCAATATGAGCACTGGTAAAAAAATGAGCTGAAGACATTTATTTATAATACCCAGAAATTAATACACAGATGCCCTCAAGACACATGGCATAGTGGATAAAGGCTTTGACAGAACCCAAAGAGTGTGAGTGGAGAACCTGGAGAGGGGAATTAACAGGAGATAACTGATAATTGACATCCATTAAACATGGCACATGGAACAAGAACAGTCTACATTTCGTCCTATATTTGTGGATACGCAATGCTGATGATCCCCAAATATAGGACGAAACGGCCGTCCTGTGTTTTCTGTATTCTGTTGAGGTTTCTTCTACCTCGATAAATTAATTATAATTAAAAAATAATCCTCCTAATAATTTTAATTGTATATATCCTTGCTTGAACCGGCTTATATAATGCTCTGGAAGTTAAAATTTGTGGATACAAGTCGTGGCTCGTGGGGGAACAGTCCTATGGGTAAATGAAACTCGGATAAGTTCCACCACGGAATTTGTGAAGAGCGGCGCAATATCGAGTCTAATTCGTTATCTTTTCGTCACCGTGGCCCGTTGGTATGACGTTTGCATCGTATTGTAACAGTCTGGGTTCGATTCTCGCTAGTGGACGCGCACTGCTGATGAGTCCCGTCCAATGCTTTCTGCATTCTATTGAGGTTTCTTCTACACTCGATGATTTACTTGATTATGATTATCTCAAAATAATCCTCCTGCTCTGGATGGAGCTGCTTGAGGATAGAAATCGTGGATCGTGTGGGGGGGGGCGGGGCAGTCCTATAGGTAAAGGAAACTCGGATAAGTTCCACGATGGAATTTATGAAGAGAGGTAGTGGATGCCCACTGCTGATAAGTCCTGTCCAATGCTTTCTGCATTCTGTTGAGGTTCCTTCTAGACTCGATGAATTACTTAATTATGATGAAAATATTCACTTATTTTTCCTGGACCCCTATCGCCTTGGTCAGCAGCAGAAAAGATCAATTAATCACCATTAACCGTTAGGGTTTTGGTCAGAAACTTGGACAATGCCAAACGCTGGTCGATTTGGCCAACCTCAAATTGTTAAATTGCAGTCTATTCATCAAGATATTAATTATTATTATCGTCCAGTCCTATGGTTAGTCTCTTTAATGGACCTCAAATGAGACCATCTAAGTGAAGAATTGGTGGGGATGCTTTCGTCAGCGGTTAGGCTTCGTCATGGTATTACTTGTCTCAGCGTAGCGAATCCTTAGAAGTGTTCGTATTGAGAGAGAGACAAGACATCATTAAAAAAGGGACTCCCTGTAAAATTCGCTTCTTTCTTCTTTAAAGATGATTTGTAAAATTTTCAAGCTGAAATAAAATATCGATATTGCGAAAATCGAATTAGTATATATTTAGGCGTATTCGAAAATTTTACCTTAAAATTAAAAATGTAAAATTTAAAATCTTTGCGTCCTACAAGAAAAAATTAATTAAATATATATATATATATATATATATATATATATATATATATATATATATATATATATATATATATATATATATATTAAAGAAATGGACAAAGTCCGACAATTTATTTATTAAAGACTTTTTTTTTATAAAAAGAACGTTAAACATAAAAAATATTTTAATATATATATATAGATAGATAGATGAAAAAGTTTCAAATAAAAAAAAAATGATAATGTTTTTTATGAAAGTATTTATTTATTTATATATATATTTGATATTTCAGTTTGACCTCAATCTTTCTTCAGGAATAACTGTTTGTTACAAATAAATTAAAATTACTGTTTGTTTACAAGTAGTGACCGTCGCGAGACGCGGGCGTCACGTGATATGGAACGCCACTGTGTTCGAATATTCCTAACGTAAATCTAACTGTAATAATATTTTAGATGTTGTTTAAAATTTTTTTTTTTAAATTTAACT